TCCTCCCTAGGCAAAATCGACGTTCCGGACGCGCTGGCGCAGTCCGTTTCGTCATCCGGGGTCGCTCGGACGACGTCGCCGACAATCAGGTCAAAACGCGTCGAAATTCAAACTTCACAAAAAATCGACCTGCGATCGATTGTTTCAAAAATTTCATTCGAGTCTTCGACGGGTAACAGTGCAAGCGATGTGAATTATGGCGATCGGACGTGTTGGCTCTCCGAATTGCGAAGTTTGTGCGCGCGGGGGGGCGAATTGTGCAGAAGGCCACCCTAAGGCTCAAAAAGGTCCTATAGGGGTCCCTTTTGGGTTTCCTCATGTTGGTTTCACCCTTCTAAATGCTAGAAGTCGATACCACACACTTGGAACCACAAAAGAGGACGGAAATAGGTCGAATTAAAACGAGGCGGGCACCACTTCTAAGGTTCTAAGATAGTCAAAGGGAGATCCCTAAGGCTAGATCCTAAACCCTAAGAGGAAGACTAGACCTCACTAAAAATGAGGTCAACACATTCATCCATGAATATAAAGATTTGAGTGTAATGCATACAAATATAAAGGTTTAGGTGTTTGATATCTAAATATAGAAGAATTGTGTGGTAACCATCCAAAGTTTTGTGTAAGTATGAAAGTTCAATTGTGAGATATGTAAATGCATAAGAATTATGTGCTAGGTATGTAAATTTCCCTTCTTTTTTATGTATAGAATTATACTATCGAAAATGAGCTCAAGCAATTGAACAAGCTCTAAGGGAATCAAACATCGATCAGTATTTTGTGATTGCAACCTATTATGTGTTGTTTTCACGACTCAAAAATGCAAGAATAATAGACAAAAAGTTTATGATTTTTTTCAATGGGCGGATAAAAGGAGTGATGCAATAATAGAGCGAGATGATGAAAAGAAAAATGCATACGATGATACGGTGAAACCTGATCTCAAAGACTTGAAATTTTTTGTGAACACATTGCTCTTATTTGATTTTGTAATCGTAGCACTTTTGTTATTGTTCTTAACATTATATTTGTTTTGATGATGTTGATGTATTTTGGAGGACAAGATGTCCTACTTTTAAGTTTTTTTTTTTGTCAAGTAAAGTCAAGTAAACCTGCATGTTTGGTTTTGGTTGGATGCAACTTATGTTAAATATATTATGTCAAATTTATGCTTGTATGATTATTTGATTAACATTCAGCTTAAATTCCCTTATAGCATTGTGAGTGAAAATAACTCAATTAATTGTCATTTAGTTAGTTTCACAGGGAGCACTTTCAGAATTGTATTTTTCAAAGAGAACTGTATTTTTCATACATAACTGTGTTTATATGCTGAGGGTTATTCCATTCCTTAGTCGACAAACAACACTTTCTGAATTGTGTTTTTCAAACAGACCAATTACTTCTGAAACACCAGCTTCTGAATAGTAGATTTTCAACAATAGATTTTGAACTGAGCTTTTCTATAGCCAGGACCGAAACAAACACACCCTAGTTTAAATGATATTAAATTAAGTTTTATCAAAGTATAAGGGGCTTAAATCATGAAAATTATTTGATATTTTTAATAAATAAACTCTCATAAATCATGAGAAATTGTCCCGTAATTTTAGTAGAATTTAGGCTCTTAAAAAAAAAAAACTTTAAAATTGTGTCTATTCAAAATATAAATGTCAAATCTTTAAAGCATGCATTTAAAAACTGTCATAAAATTTCTAAATATGTTTAGAAGTTAAAAATTTAATATTATATATTAATTATATAATTATTAAATCTAATTAAGTTCAATTTAATTTTTTTATAATTTTAAAAAAACAATAATTAAATATTTATTAAACTAATTAATGATTAATAATAATTTTACATCAATTAATTAACAATAAATTAACTATTTATAAAATTAATTAATAATTACTAAAATTATAAGAAAAGTTAAATTTAATATGTAATTTTTTATTAATTAATGATTAAATAATTATATATAAATTTATTTAATTATGATTAATTTGATTACATTTTAATTAATTATTAATCAATTAATTAACTTAAATAAATTAAATTAAAGCCTGAAAACTATCTTTCCCGTCCCCTCTCCTTTCGAAACCTTGTCGACATCGCTACCAGTCTAATCGAAGCCATCGAAAGCTCGCAATAAAAGTCTCAGTAAGATCTGGGCGACAACGACAAGATCACGACGTACAAAGGCCTCTAAGCATTCTATTTTTCTCCTCCTTCTAGCCCACTCCAACCAAAAACCATTGAGAAATGTAACCCTCATCTTTCTCCCCCTTCCTCTCTTTTCCTTCCCCCGGTCTCCTTGGCTTCACCAAATCCAATAGATACTTCTTCCAATGGAGTTCACTAAATCCTGAATTTAAGGCAAAATAGAGGAAACATAGGATTTAAGAACATTTAGGATTTACGAATGTGTTTTTTGCCATTTGGCAAAATTTAACATAAATCATGTATAAATATTGTATGCGTTACTTTGAATATTTTATTTAGCCTCACCTGGCAAACTCATTACCATAAATATATTTATAGACTTCTTACTTGCAAAATTTGTAGCCCCATATTTGCTATTATGTTATTAAATTAGCATACCCGCTCCAATAAGAAGTTCACAAGATTCTTTAAACATACTTGAAAGCATACATGGTACATCGGCCGCAACCAAAAAGTTGATCAATATATAAATGAAAGCCAACCAAAATATTAAACAATTTATCTCATCTACAAGCTACTTTAAACATAATACGATCGACCTCAGTGATTTTAATATCGTGAATAATAATAAAACGTTTCATTTTTACCGTCGCATTAGCAAAAAAAAAAGTTGAGGAGGCTTTAAAGAAAACCAAGGGTGGAAAGTCTGTAGGACCTGATGATATCCCAATTGAAGTGTGGAAATATTTGGGAGATTTGGGAGTTTCTTGACTTACTAAACTCTTTAATATTATTTAAAAAACTAAAAAGATGTATGAGTGGAGGAAGAGTATTTTGGTCCCCATTTTTAAGAATAAAGGGGATGCACAAGAGTGTGCAAATTATAGAGGAATTAAGTTGATGTGTCATACTTTAAAATTATGGGAGAGGGTAATTGAACATAGGTTAAGATGCATCACGAAAATTTCTCATAATCAATTTGGATTTATGCCTGGCAGGTCTACTATGGAAGCTATACATTTATTGAGAGGTTTGATGGAGAAGTTCAGAGATAATAAGGAGAATCTACATTTGATTTTTATTGATTTAGAAAAAGCTTACGATAAGGTTACAAGCGATATCCTTTGGAAAGTTCTCGAGAAGAAATGTGTTGATATGACTTACATTCAAGTCATTAAAGATATGTATACTAGAGCTGTTACTTGTGTTCAAACTGAAGGAGGATTGACAAAATATTTTCCTATTTCTGTTGGTTTACATCAGGGATCGACTTTAAGCCCATATCTTTTTGCTTTAATTATGGATGGTCTTACTGGACATCTACA